CAAGGTGTGGACTTCAACTTGAAATACGGTGGAATACAAAACTGGACCCTTTTGTGATTAAGAATATTACTAATATTAACTGCGTCGATTCCTTTGTTTGCAAATTGAAGTTTAAGGAACAAACGGGTTGTTTGAGCAGTGTTATCTTCCATAAAACGTGGCGGTTTAAAAAGCCTATGATTTGCAATTTCCATAATCACAGATCCAAGCCTGTATTCTGTACATTGCTACACTGTGGACCTAACAGATTCCCAATACTATCGACATTGTCATTACTTCCATATGGAAAAGCTGTGTTTCCTAATCCAGTATTCTCCTCGTTGTCTACGGAAAGGTGTACTCAATGATGGACTATTAGTACATGTATAATGGTAAATCTTTTCTAGAATTCTAACTTTCATTGGTAAAAAAGAATGATCAGGTAAATGAAAGCGCTTGTAGAGAAGCTGCTCCCCCCCCCCCCCCCCCGTTTATTTGAAATCGGAGACCCGATATTCTTTTAGGAAGTGAACCCTTGGTTTCACGAAAATAAATAAGCCCACAAAGATTACATTCTATTCCGTAGACAACATTTGCAGATTTGCAGTTCAGATTTTCTCAAGTTTTGTTATAAACGGTATGTCCTGTCAAATTGCTAGTAAAAGAACAGTTTGTAATCAAAACATCACATGTTTTACAGTTTTTAGCAGAACATTTGGAAATAGATGCCATTAGATCGGAAAAGGATTCATCAAATATATCATTAAGAGAAACTTTACATTCTTTTAATTTTGTGTACGAACTGTTGTTTTTATACCAAAACTCGGAGTCCGAAGATTGTACATAGTTCAAATTTTTAATATCCCTGAGGATTATCCAAGGGACACCAACTGAACTCGTTGAGTCTTTGTCCCTAATAGACTAAAAAGAGTGACGCCTTTTTATACTGGGCGACGCGTCTGCCAGTATCTTTTCGTTATCCTTTGTACTACTTATGAATGAATGAGGACCGAACGACAAGTATCCCCGGGGACAAACTGTCCACCAGCAGAGATACATGGTCGGTGGTTAAAATGAAATATGAAGATAATGAACAGTATTCAATCTCGAAAGTCCAATGAAACGATGCAAATTTGGAGCAGAGCAAACACGGACTTCAAAATTTAGAGGTGGGATCTGGTGCCATGGAGGAGTGAGCATCCCCTGCCGACCGGTCACACCCGCCGTGTGCTCCTTGTAATGATCGGGACACAAAAACCGGAAAAATCCGTAGACAGTTCAGTGTATAAATAATGGCCTAACAATTAGTATGAAAAACGTCAGTTAGCATTTGGCTCAATGATAGGTTGTATGTGCTGACAAGATCATTGTATCGACCGCAAAACTTGCGAAAAGATGACTTAAAACGATACTCTTGATATCCTTGTTTCGTCAACTTGTTTGTCAATAGCTTGCCTCGTTTTAGAAATTGTTCATGCTCTTGCGTATCGAATCAACTGAGAGACATAAACCCCATTTTAACAAACGATATATCATTTACACTGTTAAAGCTGTGCTTATTTCTTTGAGGATAATTTGCATTATTTTTTCCAATTATCCATTATATTATGACTGAAGACAAGTTCTGTAAATAACTTTACAAAATCTTAATGTAAGACCACAGGCACTTGTTTCTGCTATAAATCCTTTAACCCATACTACATTAATAACACAAGGTAATGTTATTATTATACTACGGGTTAAAAAAAGAATTATTACAGAAACAAGTCCCTGTGATTAAGACGCTGTTGATTGGAGTAGACAACTGTGTTTATTTTGATTCCGTACATCTATATACACATGTATTAAACGTTCCAAAGTTGAAATGATATAATGTTATTATGCCTCCGTAATCGAAGATTCGGGGGGCAAATAGTTTTTGCCCTGTCCGTCTGTCTGTCTGTTTGTCATCAAAAACTTTAACCTTGCCCATAACTTTTGATTGGTTGGAGCTATGGCTTTCATATTTCACATGTGTATTTCTTGTGACCTTCATATTTAACTTTTTGACCTTGACCTTGGAGTTGACCCAGTTTTACAAAATTTTACCCAACATTAACCTTGGCCATAACTTTTGAACAGTTAGTGCTAGGGCTTTCATACTTCACACATGTAATCATTGTGATAAGACCTTCCTTTGGATACCAAGAACTTTGACCCTTTGACCTTGGAGTGTGACCTACTTTTGGAAAACTTTAACCTTGGCCATTAATTTTGAACTGTTGGTTCTAGGGCTTTCATACTTCACAAATGTAATCCTTGTAATAAGACCTTCCTTTGGATATCAAGAACTTTGACCTTTTGACATTGACCTTGGAGTTTGACCTACTTTTGGAAAACCTTAACCTTCGCCATAACTTTTGAACAGTTGGTGCTAGAACTTTCATATTTCACATATGTTATCCTTGCGACAAGACCTTACTTTGGATACCAACAACTTTGAGTGTTTTGACCTTGACCTTGGAGGTTGACTTACTTTTGAAAAACTATAAATAATCTTGGACATTACTTTGAACAGTTGGTGCTAGGGCTTTCATACTTCACATATGTAATCCTTGTGACAAGACCTTACTTTGGATACCAACAACTTTGACCTTGACCTTGGAGTTTGACCTACTTTTGAAAACTTTAGCCTTGGTCATAACTTTTGAATGGTTGGTGCTAGGGTTTTCATATTTCACATGTGTATTTCTTGTGAGAAGGCCTTTCCTTGGGTACCATTAATTTTGACCATGACCTTGATGTTTGACTCACTTTTGAAAAACTTTAACCTTTTCCATATCTTTTCAATGGTTGCTGCTAGGGCTTTCATATTGCACAGTTATATTCTTCGAGACAAGACCTTACTTTGGGTACCAATATATTTGATTTGCATTTGAGAAAGTTTAACTTTCACTATAAGTTGCCATACGGGGGCATCAGTGTTTCACAAACACATCTTGTATGTATTTATATTTCATTGCACTTTTTTCAAAAAGAAGTAGATATTAAGTTCTTTTTTTAGCTCACCTGAGCCGAAGACTCAATTGAGCGCTTCTGATCAAAATTTGTCCGTTGTCTGTCGTCGTTGTTGTCGTCGCCATCGTTAACTTTTTCACAATTTCACCTTCTTCTCCAGAACCACTAGGCCATTTTCAACCAAACATGGCACAGCGTATCCTTGGGTAAATGGCTTTCAAGTCTCTTCAAATGAAGGGTCACATCCTCTTCCAAGGGGAGATAATTCAGAAAAGGTAAAAAATTTGGCCGGGGCATTTAAAAATCCTCTTCTCAAGAACCACTAGGCAAGAAAAGATGAAATTTATGTGAAAGCTTCCTGACATAGTGTAAATTCAATGTTGTTCAAATCATGACCCCGGCGGGGTATATATAGAGGGAATCTTTAAAAATCTTCTTCTCAAGAATTGCAAAGCCATGATCAGTCATTTTGTTATGGAAGTGTCCTCTGATAGTGTAAATTCAAATTTGTTCAAATCATGACCCCCGGGTAGGGTGGGGGTAACTGAAGGCGAGCAAAGTTTTCTTGAATATAAATAGGAAGAATCTTTTAAAATATTCTTCTCAAGAATAGGAAAGCCATGATTAATTATGTTAATATGAAAGTATCCTCAGATTTTGTTCAAACCATGACCCCCTGGGGTAGGATGGGGCTACAATGAGGTCAGAGTTTTCCATAGGAATACATAGGAGATATCTTTTAAAAGTCTTCTGATTAAGAACAGCAAAGGCATGATCAGCCATATTTATATCTAAGTAGTGTAGTTTAAGTTTGACACCCGGGGATAGGATGGGGCCACTATGGGCAATCGAAATTTTACATAGAAATAAGTAGGAAAATCTGTAAAAATCTCCTTCTCAAGAACAGCAAATCCAAGATCAGCCATATTCATATGGAAGCATCCACAGGTATTGTATATTCAAGTTTGTTCAAATCATGACCCCAGGGGTAGGGTGGAGTTACAATAGGAAATCAAAATTTTACATAGGAATTCATACAAAAAAAAAAAAATCTTTAAAAATCTTTTTCCCAGGAACAACAAAAACACGAACAATCATATTTATTAAGAAGCATCAGCAGATAGTGTAGATTCAAATTTGTTCAAATCATGACCCCCAGGGATAGGAATGGGCCATAAAAGGTGATCAAATTTTACACGGGAATATATAAGAAAAAGAATCTGTTGATGAAGAACAAGAAGGGCCATTAGTTACTCAGGTGAGCGTAGTGGCCCTTGGACCTCTTGTTATTTTAGCTTATCTGAGCTGAAAGTTCAAGTAAGCTTTTCTGACCACAATTTGTCCGTCATCCATCTGTCTGAAAACTTTTCACATGTTCTCCAGAACAACTGAACCAATTTCAACCAAAGTTGCCACAAATCATCCGTGGGGATTCAAATTTGTTCAAAGGAAGGGCAACGATCTCTTTACAGTTGAGATAATTAAGAATTAGGGAAAATTTGGTGGTATCTTTTAAAAATCTTCTTTTCAAGAACCACTGGGCCAAAAAAGTTGAAACCTTCACTACACAGTGTAAATTTCAAATTTGTTCAAATCATGACCGTCGGAGGTAGAGTGGGGCCACAATTGGGGTCAAAGTATCACATAGGAAACTATAGGGAACAATCTTTAAGACTTGTTTTCAAAAACAACAAAGCCACAATTAGTCACATTTATATGGAAGCACCTGATTGAAGTTTCTTCAAATCATGACCCCGGAGGGTAGGATCGGGCCACTTTCTGCTTTTCTAGCCAAAGTGCTCAGGTGAGAGATGTGGCTCAAGGGCCTCTTGTTTTTTATTCTTGTCTTTTATCCTCCCTCCTCTACCTAATTTAAAACATGATGCTGTATGCCTGTCAAATATGTCTAGCGTACAAAATGTCGCCCATCTGCATTCTTGTCATTTAAAGTTTCTAATCTGTTCAAACTCAATATGAATTAGATTTATATAAATTATTCATATCATAAAACATGGTAACAGGTCCGAGAAGTGGAATGCTTTGATCCGTGAATATGCATCCGTGTAAGCGGAGAAAGCAATGTAGTATCAAAATACCCAGTACATCACCTGTAGACGAAATCAAATTACAATCTGCAGGTAAAAGGTATGTATGTTTTTGTTGTATGTGTGTTCGTTTTTGTTTATATATATATATATATATATATATATATATATATATATATATATAAACTAAAATGAAAAAAAAGTTTTCAATTTGATATATGTAGAATTTTTTCAGCTAAGAATTGACCTATTCATATGTACGACTTTCTGCACAATGCGGGACTCTCAAAAAGTATCAAATACATACGAAGACATGATTTTCCAAAAAGCCGGGAAGTTCTTTAAAAAAAGTTGTGCATTTTTTCTCTGTTTTAGAGACAGCAGTGTCCCATATAATATACAAGTAGAGATAAGATTCAGTAGGTCATTCCAAACACAACTAGTGACCAAAGGACTGTCGCCATGCCACTTACATTTCCAGTAAAGATCTCCACAACCGAAATGCACACGGCAGGACATGTATTAAGGATTATAGAAAATGGATGTCCTGAAATCAAGGGTCAAACACTTCTGGATAAAATTAATTACATGAAAAGTGAATTGGACGAGTACAGGAAATTGTTAATGTGGGAACCGCGAGGACACTACGACATGTTTGGAGCGCTGCTCGTGTCTCCGGATATAGAAACGTGCGAATTTGCCGTCATTTTTATCCATAATGAGGGGTACTCTACAATGTGTGGTCATGGTCTTATAGCTTTAGGGCGTTATCTCATAGAAAAAGGACTCGTTAAAAATGTCACTGTTCCAGAAACTCAGATAAATATTCAATGTCCTTGTGGTCCAGTGACTGCTTACGTCACATATGACGGACAGAACACCGGCGCAGTAAGGTTCCAAAGTGTTCCATGTTTCGTCTTCAAACCAGGTAAATTTACCCACTACACAGTGTACAAAAAATTAAAAAAAAATTTAAAGAAATATTTTCAAGTCAAATTTAAAGTTTAATATTGAACGGTTTTATATTGAATATTTACATATCATTTGCAGTATGCATCATGCTTTCTGAAATGACTGATACTTTTCATATGCATCATCAGTTTGATATCACCATGCAGTCTTCAATACCTAGGTCTGTAGAAAGCCCTGACTTAAGGGATTACACACTTCTTGGGGTGGGGTTGGTACAAATATTTTCATACCAAACTCATTTTAAAGAGGGGTTATCGACAGGTGCGGATCCAGGAATTTTTTCCAGGGGTGGGGAAGTGGGGGGTTCCACCCCAGTCAAAAAATTTCAAACCCAGAAATCTCTTGACAAGCAAAATAAACAATTAAACAAAAAACAAAAAAACAAACTGAAGATGGATTTTGGCCGATTCACTTCACTTCTTTATTGTATAACTATTCCTACCAACTTTACAGGGTTCCACGTTTTCTAGGGGGTCCAATTTCTTTTTTTAATTTGCTTTAGTATATAAATGTAGTAAATCTGCAAATTCCAGGGGGTTCGGAACCCCTCCCCCGACTCCCCTCTAGATCCGCGCATAATCGATGTTAACGCGATATTATCATGATTGATTGTATAGATTTGCTTTCCACTCCTGGGTGTTTTCAGAATGCTACGTTATACATTCAGAGATTCAGAATACTACGTTATACATTCAGACATTACAGAGGCAGATGAAGCAATTTCACGGGGGGTGGGGGTTAAAGTAATTGTATCCAGTCGATCAAATAATATTATTTATTTTGTTCATTACTAGGTTTTCTGTTAATTTATTTCTATTCAATAATACTTAAAATTAAATACGTAAAAAAATATAATATTTTAAAATCTACACAAATATCCCGGAGAAAAAAAATGGGGGGGGGGGGTTAAAACCCCGAGTCTTCCATGTTTGATCCGCCAATGAATAGTATAGGCTTCATAGCAAAATAAGAAATACAGAAAATATAAATATGTGTGTTTGTTTGTGAAATAACCTCGCAGGGGACATTAAAATACACTAAATCAATCAATGAATCATTATGTTCACCACGCAACTGCAAATGAATATTTCACCAGGGAGATTAAAAAAGGACAACTCAAGTTGAAGAATTTACATTCCCAAGACATTTTTTTTCTTTTTTTTCTTCACCACCATCTGTCCCCAAGGAATCAAAGATGATATGTTCACAAAACATATTTGATAGATAACTAAAGTGCTAATGCCTTTTCTTAAAATGTTCATTACAGAAAAGGTCAAATAAATACCTGCAAATAATACTTGCACTAGTGGTTCATTTAGGTCTTTTTGTTTTTCGATGAAATGACTTCATTCTACACGCATAGTCGTGCGAAATGAGATAAAAGGCTTATGTCGTGCGAAAAACACCCTATTTTCCAACATAAGAAGAAAAAAATATCTGAATGCCCTAAATATACCACCGTAAAAAGATGATCTATAAACTGGCTGCGACGTCAGTGTACAGAAAATATAACGTCACTGCTATTTATAAACTGTCCTTTTTTCTGTTAAAGCAATATGAGCTGCATTTTTGAAAATTTTATTTTGCTGTTAAAATGTGCTGTTGTGATCAATCTGTATGTAATTTAATCCTTTATGATCAATAAGACTAAAATAAAGTATTTTTTTCACAAGAAAGATTTCTGTACAATGGAATGTATAAGAAATCAATATTGTACAGGATGACTATAATGTAATTTTGCTTCAGTCAAAGCTTATAGATAGTTCTGCCATCGCAAATATGAACAATAGAAGTTTATAAACATTCTTTTTTCTGTCATTGAAATAGTTAATTACGATTTTGCAACAAATATTTCCGACATGAAAATTGAAGCTCATATTGCTTTAAATTTGAATTTCTATCTTTTATAACTGTTAATAAATATTTTGATATTAAAAAGTGCGCTATACAATCCAGAATTACCCTTGGAGGTTCCTGTCTTTGGTAAAATAACTAAATGTCCATATAAAATTGATAAACTGTTTCTAGGATAAATTTTTAAAAGGAAGACATGTTATTTTTAAGATTTGACTGTGGAAGTCCCTGGTTATGGTAAAATAACTGTCGACATTGTTTACTCGGGAGCATTCTATGCCATTCTGTCGGCAGGGCAGTATGGTCTGGACGTCAGGAACTCGTCAGTGTCCGAGCTGAGGGCAGCGGCCGGAGCCACTACAGGTAAAACACTATTACTTTAAAGAAATTTTGGTTCACAGTTTAAACTAACAGAGTAAGTTTATTTACATTAAGCGTAATGCGTAATGTTTATGATGTCCTTCTTCTTTCAGGCCTGTAGCAACGGTTTCAAAAGGGGGCAACCTCCAAAAAAAAATTTGATCCCCCCCCCCAAAAAAAACCATTTCACTGTCCAAATCCCGGATTTTTTCAGTGCTCGACCTTATAGCAAAAAAAATGGGAGGGGGGCCAGCATCTAAAGGATAATTTACTATGGCAAAATACCATACTCAGAGAAAAGGGAGCCCCCCCCCTTTCCCGGGTTCTGCGGGCCTGTCTTTGCTGTGTCAAATCCTTTATTTGAAAACAGCGAGCCCAGACTCTATATTTATACGACATAAATATCTGTACCATATGTATCTTGAAATAGGATGCTATATAAATGTTTCGTTTTTCTTAAGAATAAGGGTATTTTTATTTTTTAAATACAACAAATATCTATCTTAAACTTCTTTATAATGTTCGTAATCTTCGAAATTTGTTCAGTGATTACCAGTTTAAGCAGAGGACTGTGTGAAGTTGGATACAGAATTAGAATATTTCAAGTCCCAAATTAATTTAATACTTTCAATCTTTTATACATTTGTAGCATCATTATAATAAAACTGATCTTTTATCTGTTTGTCGATCTCTTATAAGACATTTTGAGAGCACAGATGAAGTTTGTTCATCCAGACGTGAAGGGCGTCTCATTTCTGTACGGTACGATTCTGACAGACGGAAAGGATGACTACTCGGATGAAATTACAGACACCATGTGTGTTTTCGCTGAAAGAGAGGTAAGCTCTTTGTTCAATTGTTAAATTTTTCTTTGCCTGTCGATGTCATGTATAATCGGTATATATTCTTACCGTGCATGGAAGGATAATCAAAAAAAAAAAAAAAATAATAAAAATAGGAAACTTAATACGTTTACAATTTAAGTGATATATATTGCAAATCTATATGAAAAATGTTTACCTTTTCTAGACTTTATCTTTCTTTTTAATTCTCTCAACCATTCACGTCTCCCATATTTTCTCTCTATCAAACGCCCACTTCTTAAACATTTTTTACCTCTCAAACACCCACTTCTTCCATATTTTCTACCTATCAAACACCCACTTCTTCCATATTTTTTACCTATCAAACACCCACTTCTTCCATATTTTTTTACCTATCAAACACCCACTTCTTCCACATCTTTTACCTCTTAAACATCTACGTCTTCCAAAATGTATACAAAGTTTTCAGCAAAGTTTCAGTAACACAGAAAATAACTACAGACTCAATGTGTACGGAATGGATATGGGCTGATTACAGAAAGGTTTATTAAAAATAGACATATATTTACATTATTAATCTTATATCCTTTCTGACATATTTTATTTCTTAAATTAAATATGCAACATGGCGACTTTAAAGTCGTCATGTTGCAGATTTTATTTAAGAAATAAAATATGTCAGAAAGGACACTTACCGTAATTATGTTATATAGCACACCAATGTGACTTCCATTAGCCAGTACGTTTTATTATCAATTTAACAGGTAGATAGATCGCCGTGTGGGTCGGGAACATCAGCTAGAATCGCTCTCCAGTACTTTAAAAATAAAGTCACGATCAACCAAACCAGGACCTTTCGTGGACCTTCTGGTGAAGTATTTAAGGCAAAAGTCGTCAAGGAGGTCAGCTGTGGAAATCACCAGGCAGTGGTCACTGAGGTGAAGGGTCAAGGTTATTTCTGTGGAAATTCTACATTCACACTGGAAGAAAGTGACGCCGCAGGGAAAGGATTTTTGTTGCAGTAGATACTGCACTCAAAGCTGTCTTATGATACTCGATAACAACACGGCAGAAAATAAGAACTAAATCATAAAATGTACGAATCAACCCTTTATTTAAGTGGCAATATGCATAGAACATCTATTTAGATACCATATTAATAATAACCTTTCATAAACATGAAAATTAAAATGTATTGTCCCAATGCTGTTTTGCATTAATGAAGAACACGCTTGAAACATTTAGGAACACCTATTAATGGGTGATTGTGTAATATTACTCTTACTTCTTAAATAGGGAAAGTTGATGATGGAAAAGCTGAAGTCATTCCGTTTGCTAATTATTTGTTAGTTGCATATCTATTGTTAGTAAAATATCCAAGTATATGAAACAGATGTGGCAATCTCTGTAGTGTCCTTTATTTCGAGTTCATTATGATATATCAAGTTAAAAAATTGTATTGGTATGTATATAAAACACTATACAAACAAATGTATTCTAAATTACATGTATACTTTTACGTACAATGGTGTGAAAAAGATTAATGGTGAGTAAGGTAACACTGCACATAATATCTAATTAGCCGAACAATGCATGAAAAATGGAAACAATGGCGAATGCAAATCTTGGTGACATGGATAAATTATCAATGTATACACGTATGTATATGAATAAATTAACTTTGAAATGCATACAATGATGTTATGTATAGAGATAAATTACTGTAGGTAAATTATGTGAACAATATATTCTAAAATGCTGGAGTTTCTGATTGACAATATCTATATGTAGTTTTTGGAGACCAAGTCTTCCAACAATCTGTCGATATTCCCAAGGGTACCAAATATTAACCCGTTATTAGCAGACCTATTTTTATATTCATATGAAGCAGAATTTATTAAAAATTTCTACATGGGAAGAAGAAAACACTTGCTGTGGGTGTGGCCTTCAACAGCTTCTTCCATTCGTAAGTCGACTCGATATATCCTAGTGAACTTGAAATAAAAGATACAACAGAGTCTGGCACATCTGTTTCATATTTGAATAGTTTTCTAGAAAAGGAGTTAATGGTAACCTAACAACGAAACTTCATGATAAACGTGATGAATTCAACTTTTTTATCGTCAACTTCCCTTAATTATGTAGCAATTTACCATTATCACCTGCATGTGGAGTTTTATGTCTCCCTGTTGATTCGATACGCAAGAGCATGCTTTACGTACGAACAATTTCTAAATCGAGGCAAACTATTGACAAACAAGTTGATGAAACAAGGATATCAACAGTGTCGTTTCAAGTCAACATTTGGCAAGTTCTATGGTATATACAATGACCTTGTCAGCAAATACATCATTAAGTCGAATGCTGACCGACATTTTTCATACTTAAAGTTAGGCCATTATTTACAAACTGAATTGTTTGAGGATTTTTCCGTTTGCCCGACCAAGACAAGAAGCACATGTCGGGTGTGACCGGTCGCAGGGGATGCTTACTCTTCCATGGCACCTGATCCCACTTTGATGCTTTCAGGGGTCCGTGTTTGCTCTGCTCCGGATTTGTATTGCATGTTTCAATGCATGGACTTTAATTTGAGCTTGATTGCTGCATGTTCGTTATCTCCATATTTCACAAATAAATTAGGTGTATAATGATCTTAAATATATGAACTAGGTAAATAATACAATGGAATTATACCTAAATCACATTAATATGCCTGTACGAAATGGATAAATAAGCTGAACACTACATACTATGATGTTATGGAGAAATTACTAAACAATACATATATTGGTGATTGGATAGTTTTTCAAGCTATTCAAACATTGGTGACATACTGAAAAATGTTCCATGCAAGCAAGGACGTACATTAATTGTGAGGCCCATCTTTAAAATAATATTTATTTGCCCTCTCCTGGCTGATGGTGAAAAAAATTGGGTCGGTAGGTAGGTGAGAATTTTTCTTCCAGAAAATGTCAACAGGATGACAGGATGAGAAAATTCAATATTAAAAAGAAAAAAGAATTATCGTTTCCTGGAGGTTTAAAAAAGTTTTGAATCGGGTCATTTGTATCCAGTTGTCGGGAGAGGGCAAACAAATAATTTTTGAAAGATGACCTAGCTGATATGGAGATCTGTCTAAACAATGCATATATTAATTGGTGATATGGATATATACATTATTTAAACAATACTTACATTGGTGATAAGAATAAAAATTATGTAAACAATGTACATGTATATACTAATTATGATAACGATCAATTATCTTATCATTGCATACACTAACTGAAGATATTTTGCATACATGTTTTATATCTTTATTAGTTTAAGAATGCATCCAGTAGTTGAATGAACTATTGATTATGATAAAAAAAAAAATCAGAAATAAAATCGACATAGAAATTACTGAGGTAGGTTTAACTAAGTGGGAGGAGCTTCTTTTTAAAAGCGTGACTCTGGGGTCATTTAACAGAGCTACAGAACAATCGCCATGCCTCTTGTATTCCCTGTGTCAATCTCCACAACTGAAATGCACACAGGTGGAGAGCCCTTAAGAATTATAGAAAATGGATGTCCTGAAATCAAGGGTCAAACACTTCTGGATAAAATTAACTACATGAAAAGTGAATTGGACGATTACAGGAAACTGTTAATGTGGGAACCGCGAGGACACTACGACATGTATGGAGCGCTGCTCGTGTCTTCGGATATAGAAAAGTGTGATTTTGCTTCTATCTTTATTCATAATGAGGGATACTCTACAATGTGTGGACACGCTGTAATCGCATTAGGACGTTATGTCATAGAAAAGGGGCTCATTAAAAACGTCACCGTTCCAGAAACTCAGATAAACATTCAATGTCCTTGTGGACCAGTGACTGCTTACGTCACATATGACGGACAAAACACCGGCGCAGTAAGGTTCCAAAGTGTGCCGTGTTTTGTCTTCAAACCAGGTAGGCATGCATCAAACTTTCAACTTTGGCTCAATACTTTTCCATAAGCAAACCGTACAATCTTAGGGGCTGATTCTTCCTACTAGGCTTGACCCTGTTTAAGGATATCTGATCTTCAGCCAGGAAGGATAACTCTTTAATTTATTTAATTCAAAAAAGTCTCAAAATGAAGCTTACAGCTTCAAGCTTCCAGATTGTTGGAAGACTTTATCTCCAAGAACTACATAGATATTGTCAATCAGAAACTCAAGCATCTTTTAATATCAACTTCGGTTTACCTTATTGTGTGTACAATCATAATATTTTTTTTTAACAAAATAATTTGGCAAATGACCAATGACAAGGTAAGTAATTTATGAGTTCCATTTTCATTGAAAAAGCAGCGTTCTATATACTAGTATATGATGTCTGAAAGCCTGGACTTTAATTTGTTCAGGCGAATGATTGTATAAAGTATTGAAAAGTTGTACGTTTTGATGTTATTAATTTTGGTAAAACTTGGTGACTTCAAAGTTTCTAAAAGTTCCTTGGAGTTTTTTTAGTATCAACATCTGATTTAAACCAATTCTCGAATATATTGTACAGCACTCCTGCTGTTTCTCCTTCACTGCTGTCAATGATTTAATGAGAAGTAAAAAAGAAGCTTGGTAGAACATTTACTGGAACCCGCTATGTTTCTTTGTTTACAGGGATTTTTATGTAATTTAGGAATCCAGTTTGGGTTTGGTAATTCAAATTCAATTTGATTGTTGGACTAAGACAAATCATGAGTTTATAATAAAATCTGGCAAATTCGATGATTCTGTTTTAAAAATTGCTTGCTTTGAATTATTTATCTAAATTTATTTTTAAAAAGATTTAAACATTTTCAAATTAATGTGAAAAGGAAAGATATTCTCAAAATTACATTTTGGTCTATAAAATTACGTTTCAGTCTTAGTCGTAAGTTCTTTCTTAAAACGGGTCCCAGGTCCTTTAGTGTTTTTCTTTGGTGACTCTTTTCGACTTCGGGTCGGATTGCGATTTTAACTCATCCGCCTTATGCAGTTTAACGACGAGAAGTTGTAAATTAAAAAAAGTTAGTTTACAGAGGGTGTATTTTTAACGACCATTTTCTTTTTATCTTTCACAACGTGGATACTAGAGCAGAATTGTGAACCATAAACTAAGGTGTTTTTTTAAATGTTGCTTTCAGTATGTTCGGGGGGAAAAATCGACCAACGATGACCTTAGAAATACTGATTCTTTTACCTCTCATTTTTATTTATTTATTAATTATTATAATTATTTATTTTATTTTTTTTTATTTTGAGAAAAAAAATATTACAACAATTACGAAAGCCTATTAGGATCAAACTACGGTAAAAAAAAATTTAAAAGGCGTTATAACTAGAGATGGCAATCGAATACAGAATTGCTAATCGGTTAACCGTAAGACGTTCCGACCGATTAACCGGTTAATCGTATCAAACTACACATTTTCTGGACTTTTATTCAAGTAGCTTTATTCCTACGCGCAAGAAGTCTTAAAAAAGATGTTAGAGGTCAAAAACGTTCTTTTTATCTTTATTCTTGACCAGAAAACTACATGCATATATTTTTTTTATTTCAATAGACAAGAAAAAAATTCAGAAAACCATGAAACATGCCCGAAAAATCTTGGATAATTTTCCAAACGAATGTCACACAAGTTTATTCTTCATTGTCACCATAATCGAAACTAAGTCTTAACTGTATCACTTAATTTACAATGTTTGTTTAATAATTTAATTTGATAGATAGATAGATAACTGCAAAAGATACACACACCAATTCAAAATGCTCTACGGTGATTATTATCATTAAAGAATTACAGGACAGTCGGGGGTAACGACGTGGTGTTTTAACAGTAATTAACACATCACAGACTATCCAATTACCCCACAATTTTAATCCTGAGAGCCACAAATACCTCCAAATCAGCTTAAATAAATATGTGAAAACGCTAAATTATCAACGTTTAAGCAAGAATTTCTTTAAAAAATGAATTTTTTAGAAGAATGCTCTCTATTTTACTTATATTTTAATTTTTTTTTCCGACTAACCGATTACAGATTTTCTAACCGATTGCCATCGTTCCGACCGACTAATCGGTTAACCGGTTAGAAATTGCCATCCCTAGTTATAACGCCTTTTCAAAAGGCGTTATAACGCGAAAAAAGGCGTAATAACGCAAATAAAGGCGTAATTACGCCTTTCCGAAAGGCGTTATAACGCAGAAAAGGCGTTATTACGCCTTTTAAAAAGGCGTTATTACGCCTTTCCAAAAGGCGTTATTACGCCTTTCTTAAAGGCGTTATTACGCCTTTCCAAAAGGCGTTATTACGCCTTTTAAAAAGGGGTTATTACGCCTTTCCAAAAGGCGTTATTACGCCTTTCGAAAAGGCGTTATTATGCCTTTTGAAGGGCCATTATTATGTTTTTGACAGGTCCGTGCTTTTAAAGTGTGTGTGTGGGGGGGGGGGGGGGGAGGGGTTCCCATAAATTTGACAAGCAAACAAAAAAACAAGACCCCCCCCCCCCGAAAAAAAAAATAAACTGCCTAAACTTGAGGGGAAACTTTTTCTAATTTTTCGGTAAAACTTTTTTTAAATGCAATGACTTGCCCGAGTTTAACCATACTGCAACAAAATGTTAAGGGACCAAGCAATCAATTAATGATTTTTTATATTTAAACTATAGCAAGGCTATTCTCCCAAAAAGTGGGGAGGGGGACACCCCCCCCCCCCAACTCACATTCGTACTACCGGCCTGTTTGAAAAGGAGTTGTATCCAAAAATGGAAAGGCGTTATTTTAAAATAGTAAATATATGAAAGATTGAACCAAAGCCATCTTTATTTATGCAATATTTAGATTATAGTTTTAATATTATAAATTATAGTATTTTCTATATTCCTGCACATCTCGCAGACAGTTGTTTGCATTTTGCATGCATATTAAGAGAAGTCAACACTCTACTTTTGAAAATCCAGGATATAGGCAGAACCAGCTTTGGGCTTTGCTAGCCACGTATTAAAAATTAATGTCATTGAAATATTTTTCTCTCCTCTTGGTAAAAAACAGGCAAAGTATTTGCATAGGTATAATGAGCAATTAGCCTTCAACAAAATTTCTGAAATCCATACACCTTGGTAGAAGCGTCTGGCATCAGAGAAGGACTAAGTTGGTTTAACACTGAAAATATTTTACACATTTAAAAATCTTTTTTCCTCGAAATCTAATTATAATCAGCCCCCAGGGTGGGCTAAGTAAGTCATGTATTGAAAAAAAAAGAGGCGTAATAACGCCTTTTTAAAAGGCGTAATAACGCCATTTTAAAAGGCGTAATAACGCCTTTTGGAAAGGCGTAATAATGCCTTTTGGAAAGGCGTTATAACGCCTTTTTAAAAGGCGTAATAACGCCTTTTAGAAAGGCGTAATAAGGCCTTTTGGAAAGGCGTTATAACGCCTTTTTAAAAGGCGTAATAACGCCTTTTAGAAAGGCGTAATAACGCCTTTTGGAAAGGCGTAATAACGCCTTTTCAAAAGGCGTTATTACGCCTTTTTTCGCGTTATAACGCCTTTTGAAAAGGCGTTATAACGCCTTTTAATTTTTTTTTTTACCATAGTTTGATCCTAATAGGCTTTCGTAAACAATTAATGGACTTTTATTATATGTCCATATTAAATTGATAAACTGTTTCTAGGATAAATTTTTATAAGGAAGACATGTTATTTTTAAGATTTGACTGTGGAGGTCCCTGGTTATGGTAAAATAACTGTCGACATTGTTTACGGAGGAGCTTTCTATGCCATTCTGTCGGCAGGACAGTATGGTCTGGACGTCAGGAACTCGTCAGTGTCCGAGCTGAGGGCAGCGGCCGGAGCCACTACAGGTAAAAGGGCTTTATTTTAGTTTGCACATTTGAACAACGGCGGAGTTTCGCAGTAGTGGTTAGAGGTAACAAGAAAATTAATTAGTCAGCCCTCGGGCTGACTAGTTACGGTGGGATGAAACTGCAAGTGCGCTTGCGTAATTTGGAATTCTGGGAAAAAGATGTACACGACTTGTTCTAAAGAAACTCGTGCTATTTGCTAAAACCAAAGGGCGTGATTCTTCACAAACACCCTCTAAACAAAGACGCGAGCTCGATCTATTTATAGAGTGCATTGTTTTTCGTCGTTCTCGACGAAAAATTAAAGAAGAGACTGTTCTAAGTGGGAAATATGATACTATGAAAATATTTCAGTGCTTCTTATAGAAGATGAGAAGTTTATATGCAGAGCACATTTAACACTTGATATATATACCCTCAATCGCCGTTGCAATTTCACGGATTTACAATTGTGTATTCCTCTGAATGCCTGATGCAAGACTCACTCGATCAATACCTTGCATAAGACATGTACGGGTCGGAATTCACACAATAATCCACTTGCACAAAGGTCCCAAAACAGTGAAAAAAAGAATCTCTTTTTACACTTTAATAATGAAAGTTATGAAAACGTCAGATCACTTAAGATGTGTAAAGTCTTATAATTTACACGATGATAGACATGTAAGTGTCGCTTGTGCACGTGAACCGCGCCCACAGGAGAAAACTTACCACAGTAGAACTTGAGAGTAACATAGACAGCCCCCCTCCCCCCCCCCCCCCCCCAATTAGAGAGAGTGAGAGAGATGGAATCCAGTATCCTTTTAGGGTATACGTACTGTATGTATAAAATATTTTGAATTTCCAGTCTATTACTTTATTTTGGAAGCAATTCTTTTCTTTCCTAATAACACTAAAATGAATGCTTAAATTTAGAAATTGAATTAAATATACAATTAAAGTCATACAGTATGCACCCCCCCCCCCCTTCCCCTATCATGCATTGCCTCGAACCTGCACGATTAAAAACTTTTATCTTATAATAATTAACACAATCTAACCCAAGGTCTACCTTCATTTTAAGCATCATAATCTATATCATTTATAGAATTTAACAGTAAAATTGAAAATGTATACATTCTTCAACGTTCAATGATTGGGATCATAGTGGCTTTGTTCATTTCTGAGACGAACTTTATCTCATGGCCGTAGGAAGCGGGGGGGGGGGGGCACGGAGGGCCGTGCCCACCCCCCAATAATTTTTCCGATATATAGACTACTATAGAAAACATAGCTACCATATGCTTGTGCCCCCTCAATATAAACGTCTGATGACCTTTTTTAAATTTTTTTTTTTTGCTTGTCAAGGAATTTTTGTTAGTTAATAGTGCCCCTCCAATTCAAAATGTATGGCTGTGCCCCCCCCCCCCCAAACTGAAATTGCTTCCTACTGGCCTGTATCTGATGTCCGCGCCCAAGAGAAATTAATTGGAGGTCATCATAAAGATCACGATGTAGTCTAACTTAAATTTATTCTATGCTTTATTATTTATTATGTACAGCATTATGTTACAAATAAGAAAACGACTGGGCGAATTTTAACTTAGACGACAATGACTTTTAATGGACACAACATGATGGATAAAACAAATCATATACCATCACAAAACAGGAAAGAAACTCTGTATTCCAGTGGCTGAATACCTTGCGTTGTCATTGTGGGCTCCGCAGCTGCACGGCGTTGGTTCGCGTTGTATTCGCTTATAATAAAGTCCATCTGCATGCGCGGATCTAGAGGGGGGGGGAGGTTGCTGTCAGGAGGGTTCCCATGGGAATGTCATTGTTATGAAATTTGTATAGCAAAGTAACCAAAACTAAACTTTGGATCCCCTCCCCCTAAAAACACCGATCCCTGCTTAAAGAAAAGTACCCCCTTTTTTATTGTCAAAATTTTGCGTTGGCTTTTCTTTCTTTCACTCCTTTTTTTTTTTTTGAGTGGTGTGGACCCAGCAGGAAAAACATTCCTGGGTCCGAGCATGTCACTAATTTAACATTGAAATTTGATCTACTGCTTTTTAAATTTTTAAATCTATCTTTCCTTTTTTATGGTTGAAAATTTCCTTTCAAGACATTTTGAGAGCGCAACTGATGCTGGAGCACCCAGAAACTGATGGCGTGTCGTTTCTGTACGGTACGATTCTAACGGACGGAAACGATGGCAATGCAGATGAAATAACAGACACTATGTGTGTGTTTGCTGAAAGAGAGGTTTGGTTATTGTATTTTTTTGACTATATACGGGTTACTAGAATTTCCTTTAGCCTACAACTTTGCTTGACCCAAATAATATATATGATACTCAGTTGATAAGCGTTTAATTTCAACAAGATGAATATGTAAACTTCAGTGCAGATGATATTTGTATCACAAAATCAACGTTGAAAATATTGCACCAGGACGGCTAAATCAAAGTGATGGAAAAATCTTGAAATATTTAGAGGAAAAAATCATCCTTTAATTATCATTAGTGAAAATTTTAGAGTTATCCTGATTAAATCATTTTTCAACCACGCACTTACCTAACTTACTTTCCTCTTGACTACAGCAAAACTTTTATTGTCAATTTTTCAGGTAGATAGATCTCCTTGTGGGTCAGGAACCTCTGCTAGAATCGCTCTTCAATACCATAAGAATAAAATCAAGCTCAATCAACCCAGAACCTTTCGTGGGCCCTCTGGTGAAATATTCATTGCAAAAGTCGTCAAGGAGGTCAGCTGTGGAAATCACCAGGCAGTGGTCACGGAGGTGAAGGGTCAAGGTTATTTCTGTGGAAATTCTACATTTACACTGGAAGAAAATGACACTGTAGGGAGGGGATTTTTGTTAAAATAATCACTGTGTCTAGTTCTGAATTTTTAATAACCATTATAGTATTAACAGAAGAGAACTGGGACATAACGAGAGACACTGTACATGTATGTATGTCTACAAGACGAATGCCCTTCTATTGGTATACATTGCAAAATCATTAAATGTGACCCTAAAATCTACGGAGAGTAAAGGTAGCAAATTTTAAGTTTGATTAAAATGCTTCCAGGAAAATGTTTCTTTGTAGGGGTATGTAAATCAATATGTGATTATCGAAGTACAAAATATGAAAAATGTAAGTCTGGATCCGCAGTTTTATTCTAATGAAATATTTGTATGAACGATGTAAGTAATCAACAATGTTCAGGAAAATAAGCGAAATGCAACATACAATAATTTAAAGTCAAGCCCATTGAGATATGGTAAAGTTGAAATAGTAAATTATACAAGGAGTTTAATGATTATTTTCCAATTCCCTAAGCTTAATGCAAGATAAGGAAAATTTGAGGTCATACTGGTAATTTTTTGCAAAGCTGGACTTCACACAGTTTTCCATCCATGGTAAGTTGACCAGGTAGAGGAATCTTTGACCAACATGATTACTACCAATCACTTAGCTATGACGTCTCACAACCGCTCAGCTATGACATCACTACCTATGCCAATGCATTTCGAAAAGACAGCTTAGACTTCATAAAAATCCTTACAAAGATACACTGCCGGATCCCACAAATGCTCTACCAAGCCCCTATCTTTACTCCTTACTAAAATATTAACAGCAGTGAAGGAGAAACTTCAGATGTACTGTGCTCTAGAAGATGTGGATCCTCAGAAACTCTAAGGAACTTTTAGAAAATTAAAATCACCGATTTTTTTTTCCAGAAGTCTATAACATCAAAACTTACGACTTTTCTACACTTAAATTTATGCAACCATTCCTCACGATAAATTTAAAACTAGGCTTTTTGATATCATAGACAATTGCTTCTTCAATAAAAACGGAACTCGAAAATTTTAACATCTTTTGCTTGCCATAATTACTTTGTTGAAATCACTCGGATTCTACACACAAGTACTCTGAAGTTGATATTAAAAAGATGGTGGAATTCTTCGTTGACAAAATTTATGTACTCTTTGGAGACCAGGCCCCAGGATCATGAAACAGACTTAGACTTAAGTCAAATTTTCAATCAGCTGTAAAATGTTTAAATTAATTATTGAATTAATGAAATATGTGGAGATAACGAACAGTATTCAAGCGTAAAAGTCCATTAAACATTACAAAATAGGTGCAGAGCAAACACGGACCTCCAAAACATCAGAGGTGGGATCAGGTGCCATGGAGGAGTGAGCATCCCCGGCCGACCGGTCACACCCGCCGTGTGCTCCTTGTCATGATCAGGAATAACGGAAAAATCCGTCGACAATTCAGTGTGTAAATAATGGCCTAACAATTAGTATGAAAAACGTCAGTCAGCATTTGACTCAATGATAAATTGTATTTGCTGACAAGGTCATTGTATCGACCGTAGAACTTACGAAATGATGACTTTAAACGAGACTGCTGATATTCTTGTTTCAACAACTTGTTTGTCAATAATTTACCTCGTTTTAGAAATTGTACATACGTAGAGCATGCTCTTGCGTATCGAATCAACTGAGAGATATAAACCCCGTATGCAGGTGATGAAGGTATATTGCTGCATAAGTAAGGGAAGTTGACGATTGAAAAGTTAAAGTCATCACGTTTATCATAAAGCTTGGTTGTTAGATTACCATTAACGTCTTTTTCAAGTAAAATATCCAAATATGAAACAGATGTGTCAGACTCTGTAGTATCTTTTATCTCAAGCTCACCGGGATATATCGTATCGACATAAGAATGGAAATAACCATTGTTAATTGACAATACGTCGTCGATATATCTAAATGTCGAGTTGAAGGCCACAGCAAGTGTTTTCTTCTTTTCACGTATAAGATTTTGGACAAAGTCTGCTTCATATGAATACAAAAAAAAGGTCTGCTTATAACGGGGCGCAATTGGTACCCATTGGAATTCCAATAGATTGTTGGAAGACCTGGTCTCCAAAAACCACATACATGTAGATATTGTCAGTCAGAAACTCAAGCATCTTTTTAATGTCAACTTCAGAGTACTTGTGTGTACAATCAGAATGTTTTTTAACAAAATAATTTTGCAAATGACCAATGACAAGGTAAATAAATTTACGAGTTCCATTTTTATTGAAAAAGCAGTTGTCAATGATATCAAAAAGCCCGGATTTTAATTTATCGTAGGGAATGGTTGTATATAAAGTTGAAAAGTCATAAGTTTTTAAGCTGTTGATTTTGGTAAAATCTTGTGATTTCAAATTTTCCAAAAGTTCCTTGGAATTTTTAAGTATCCACATCCGATTTACACCACTTCTCGATTATATTGTTGCATAGTACATGTACTCTTAAAGTTTCCCCTTCACTACTGTTAATATCTTAGTGAGGAGTGAAGAAAGAGGCTTGGTTGAATGTTTACTGGAACCCGCTATGTATCTTTCTTTGTAAGGATTTTTATGAAGTTTCGGAATCCAATATAGATAAGGTAATTCAAATTCATTTTGGTTGTTTGGAATATTAAAAATATTCAAAACTGACATATGATTTTGAAGAATTTCTTCCTTAGAAAGAGAACTAATATGCAGATAGCAACACTTTTGTGAAGCAATATTCAAAAAAATTTAATTTTGGTCTGCTTGACGTCTACATTTTAATACAACTGAAAGATTTTGACTTTAGCTTAAGATGCTTTATGATCCTACTGGTTGTTCCGTCTACTTGATCAATGCATAGGCTCACGGCGGGAGTGACCAGTCAACAGGGGATGCTTACTTCTCCTAGGCAGCTGATCTCACCTCTGGAATTTCCATGCAGGGGTCTGTGCTATCATATTTGTAAATAATTTTTTTGTAGTTTTTATGAGATCGATAACTGTGCGTTATCTTTCACCCTTTTTTCATTTCTTATTGGGTGATAGGGACAAAAGGGAAAAAAGAAACAAGAAAACTTAATAAACATAAAATCAAATGTTTAGTTTAATATGGAATTTATTTCACTCGTGAAAAGAAATGTTTTGATATTTTCACAAGTGCTTACACTATTGAAACAAGAAGTTCAATGACGGTCTCCTGATTATAATACAACACTGTAAAGGACCGATAACGTATAGAATAAAACTCGGAGGGGAGATCAACATTACTGATGAAGATATGTTGCCTAAAAACAACAGAAATAGGATGAGCAGGGATCAACAAAATAGATGTACTGTAATCTAGTTCTCAGTAACAAATCATAGTGTAGATCTATTAGTACTTGCCAATGCTAATGCACTCCCATTCGTCACTATCACCCTACAGTAGTGCTTCCATGTAGTAAACCCATCTTATTCTCTCCCACCCTGGCCTCTCTTGTTTTTAAAGAACATTTAATATACAAAGATAAAGATCGGGTATTTTTGTCTCATTTTTATTTATCTATTATTTACAAGTCTACATGACCTTAAAAACTATGGGAGTACTTTTCGTATTAAACATAAAAAAATATTGCATATACTTATAGTCGATTGACCTATCAACTATATGATTTACAATGATTAACTAACATAGTTGAATAGCAAAGGGGAATAACTTCTCTCAGAAGAATACAAATTTCTCTACAAGATTAATAGTACCTGCCCAGTACCAGAACACTTAATCCAATGGTCCAGAATTTCACAAATTTGGTAAAAACACACTTGCTCATTACAATGTTAATTGTACTCTGTTGCCAAGGATCAGTGAATATTTTCAAAGAATTAATGCACTTCCACTATATGATTAATAGATTCCTGCCCTAACACCATAACCCCTGACCCTGGGGCAATGGATTTCACAATTTTGGAAGAAGTACCCTTACTCATAATAACTATACACTTAGTTTATCTGCTAAATACCCAGGATCAGAGAAGATTTGTTAAAGAATTAACACATTTTCACTATATAATCAATACAACCCTAATACCAGCTGAACCCCTGACCCAGGAGCCATGAAATTCACAATTTTGGAAGAGGCAACCTTGCTTATCATAACCATGCACTTAATTTATCCATTAAATACCCAGGGGTAGAGAAGATTTGGAGTAATTTATGCATTTTCATTATATAATCAAAAGAACCCTGGTGTAACACCAGAAACAAACCTTTCATAGTTGGAAGAGGCACCCTTGCTTGCCAAAACCATGCACCTTGTTTTTTAAATATACAGGGGAGAGAAGCTCTCTGAAGAATTTATGCATCTTCACTTTATAATAAATAGACCCCCATCCCCAAAACCCCTGAACCAGGGGTCCATACATTTCACAATTTTGGAAGAAACATTCTTACTCATCATAATAACCATGCCCTTAGTTTGTCTGCTTGATACCCAGGAGAAGCAGAAGATGTTCAAAGACTTAATTAAGGCAAATGATCAATGGAGCTCCATCAATACTCCAGAACTCCTGATTCAAGGTCCATATATTTCTAAATTTTGGGAGAAACACTCATGTTCATCATGACTATGTACTTAGTTTGTCCGCTAAATATTCAGGAGCAAAAAAAAAACTTAAGCATTTTCACTAATGACCAATACAGCCCCATACTAACCCAAGAACCCCTGACCCAGGGGCCATGAATTTCAAAATTTTGGAAGACATTCTTGCTCATCATAAACCTGCACTTTGTTTGTATTCTAAATACATGTACCAAGGAGCAAAGAAGATTTTCAAAGAATTAATGCATTTTCACTATATGACCAAAAGAACCGTGACCTTGGGCTATGAAGTTCACAACTCTTGTTCATCATAACTAAGCACATAAATTATCAGCTAAATACCCAGGATCAGAGAAGATTTTCAAAGAATTAATGCATTTTCACTATACAATCAATGTACATGTAGCCCCACCTAACTCAAGAACCCCTGATCCAAGGGTCCTGAATTTCATTTTTGGAAAAGGCACTCGCATTGCATTTAGTTCATATTCTGAATACCAAATTGGTCAAATTGTTATCAAGCGCTGGATTCCTCTCCCCAGCATACGTCTTTATTTTCCATCGACTGAAATGTCGAACATTCATTAGTGTATCCCTCTGATATTAATGTCCTCAACAAAATACACGTAAATCTGTTTCTGACTGTCTATAGAAATATATTAATCTCATAGACAGTGAGGCAAAGCCACACAGTGAGGCAAAGTTGCACTGAAGTCAGTCTGTGCAGATTCTAAAATTTAGCTAAATGCAAAAGTTCAGGGACCAATAGATGGCAGGATGGCAAATGTACTGCTGGCAATATAAGTGGTTAGAGCATAAGAAAAGAAAACACTCAATGTCCTATCTTATTCAACCCTTTATTCAAATGACAACCAAACTTTGAAACAATATATCTATTGAATGCAAAAACAACACAATATCTAAACATGGAAATTAAATAACTGGAATGGGGTTCAACAAGGAAGCAACCTGTTTCATTGCTCATGTACACTGAGGAAATAACTAACACAAAACCAGAGCTACACTGCCAGGGATTGTTTTGATAGGGTTTATCACACTAATAAGTAATAACCATTTGGTGGTGGTTTAACAAGAAATGTACAAAACTGATGCTATATATTTGTAATTTTCATTCAAAATTTAAATAAATACTATGTGTCCATGTGCAAAACCAAAACTAATCAACACCTTATTCACAAGTACTGTATGTGTGTAATAACATTTGAATGACTTTGCAATGCTTTTAATAAATATATTATGCCTATTTACATGTTAGTATCACAGAAAAAATGGGTTCTATATTGTAACAGATCTCGTACACATCTTAACAAAAAAACTGATAAAAAGAAGATATTTATGTCTCTTAAAACTTCAATTGGTGACATTTAAATACAAACTCTAATTTACATCTTGACCACTGTGACATCATTGGAGATTCTATATATATTCCAATTCAAGGATCACCACCAATAATCCTTGGAGTCATGGTAACCAATGGTAACATGTCAAGGACTAATGGTAACCAATGGTGATGGTAACCAATGGTGATGGGAATGTAGGTCAGATTTGGAATAATGATGTATTTACAAAGCATGGGAAAGAAAATGTCGAGACAGCGGAGACAATATATATCAGATGGTACATAGTATAAAACAACTTCTGCATATAATTAAAAAACAATGCCTCCTGTTTAAACAAACTGGGAGGACTAAAATTCAATATACAATGAGACAATTCTTGAATATTTTTAGGATTTCTAATAGATAATATGTGGTTATTTACTGGACATTCTAATCACAAACATACATCACTGATTTTTTTTGTACAATGCCATAATGAGAAGGAAAAATTGACAACCAAAGTACAATGCTTATGAGGCCTCTCTGGATCTATGTATGGTATATCATTTATAGCCCATAACACTTGGAAAAATTGTGAATAACATCAAACTTATCACTGTTTCAGATTCAATGAGAATTATTCCAGTTTTTTAATAGCTTTGTTTTCATTTGCTTGTTTCTAGCAGAATTTACCGTTAATGAAAGTGAGAATTGATACATTTGTGATATACGACTAGGAAGGAACTGTACTGATTACATTGAAAATTATACTAAAAACAATATGTATATATACTTTAAGACAGTCACTTCAGTGTAAAAAAAAAAGAATTAATACTTTTATACACAAAAAAAAAAAACCAATTAATTTTTCGTCAACTAAAATTAAATATAGTCCATTACATGCATGTACTAAATGCATAGAAATTTCATATAGCCTGGTAAAACCAACTAATATACATACATAATGAAATTTATACGTAAAATTAGGCCAGAAATCTGCTGCTTTGATCTTTTAAGTCCTGTTTGATCTGACTGGCAGTGACTTTGATTTTCTATATGCTTGCATATTTCACATTCATGCAATGTAAATGTAGAATTGTGTACAAATGATAATAAATGCGTAACACTAAAAAATAAAAATAACAACAAACAAAATATAGAAATAAAACAAAAGAAATCCCTTTAAAAAATAATTCAGTTCATAGCTTTCAAAATGAAAAATAAATTAAACACAAAAAATTATAAAGTAGAAGGAGATGTTTCACTTAGAATGTTTACTTTTATCTAAGTGCCTGGGTATACCCAAGTTATTGCCTGCTTCTGTCTAGTAAATTCTATCTCTCAACATTGCTGATATTTTTTGTTAAAAGTGTATCATGACACCCCCCCCCCTTTCCCCCAAAATAATAAAATTAATATCTGGAAAAGCTTTACACATGTTTGCAATATAGTATTATTTCTACACAAACAATCTTTTTTCACCCATTAAAAGAAAAAAAAAGAAGACACTGACACCTGCATTACTGCTCAAGCATTGAGGTATAGATAAAATTCATGCATGATGCAAAACTATGGATGCTCATATTCTCACAATAACCAAAACAACGTAGTATTACTCACTGACCCTAACAGAGACATGAGAATGCTCATTTCTAGGTCATGTAGGTATTTCATGTCCACTTGCTTTGAAAGCAATACATGTACAAAACATAAATATGACATGCACAAAAGAGGTAGAAGGTTTGTCATGTACCTGTGCACTAAACACACTTGTTGTAAAATCAAAATTACTCCTTAATTCATGAGATGGGATAAGTGTAAATAAAAAAATGCAAAAAGAAATATGAAACCAAGTAAAGGATAATTCCACCTAAAAACAATAAAGAATATACATTATTTCTAGTTCATGAGCTTCTATCAATACAAAAAAAAGGATCAAGTAAATAAATAAACCTCTTACCCAATATTTAAAGCCGAGTGATCTAAGAGAAATAGCACTCAAATTGATATATTACTGACTCCATTTTTATTTTTTCTACCTGTGTGATATGTTATATTCTATTGTAATTTTAATTTTTTGTTAGAAAGTTGTCATAATTAAAGATAACTAAAAGTACAGATACAGTCAAATCTCTTTATCTCAAACTCAGAGATTAAACTTTGAGATATCTGAGGATTTGAGATACATGTAACAAGGTTAAAAAAATATAAAGAAAAAGTTGTCAGGACTGCCAAATCAACTGGACATGTTCCTAGTGTTCAAGATATCGGTGTTCAAGAAGTTCAATTAAATTTCTATTTTAGTAAGTTCAGGGGACATTCTCCTTTACATGTAATCACGGTGATGGAAGATTTCCTTTCAACTAGACTTGCTTCTTGGAATTTTTTTTAAGCTTTGGATTCCTTTCTATGAAAAAAAAATTTACAGGTATCCTTTACATTAGGTAAGGAAAAACCACCCTTTACAACCAAATCCATCCTGAAAAGTTCAATTCTTTTAAGACAATATGGTTCTCTCAGTCAGGGTTTTGGGGTTGCAGTAAGCATCAGTTCTAGTATTTCCATTTCAATGCTGGTCACATAATCTTTGGATAATAACAAAAGATTGCATAGACAACAAGAAAACTTTGAGCATTTTTATCTGCAACAAAATCCCCCATGTCCCCGCCTGTCCTGCATAACTAAATAGCTGGTATGGAGCAGTAGAGAGTGCTCAATTATCTTAATTACTACAGTCTGATTAGAATGATGGAATGACACAATAGCTAACCATTGATGACATTATGATGTAAAACAACCATAATGATACAAAGAAAATAACTGTTGGAATCCGAAGCTTAGTTGGACCACCCAGTTCTCCTCCAAATTTCCTACGCACCACAATAATCGTGCAGCAAATAACTGCTTCGATACAGAAAATGGTGACCGAAAATGCTAGTGCACCTGGATCTACTTCAAAAGGCTTGCCATTTGCTGCATGGTATATTGCAGCAATTGTCCATGCCAAGCCAATACCTAGGAAAACATTGACGGCATTACTTCCTGTGACATTCCCAATGGATGAGTCAGCGTACCTGTCATTGATAGCTGCTACTTTACTGGCAAACGTATCTGCAAGAACAATGAAGTATTTTTTAAACATAAATCAAATTAATTTTAAATTCAATCAGGAAGTAAAACAAGAGGCCAATGGGCCACAACGCTCACCTGAGTAACTTTGGCCTTGCTGTTTTTCACCCGATTCCCCCTTGTAGTACTTATTGTGGCCCCGCCCTACCCCCAGGATCATGTTTTGAACAATTTAGAATCTACACTACCCCAGAATGCTTCCACATAAGTTTCAGCTTTTCTGGCCCAGTGGTTCTCGAGAAGAAGATTTTTAAAGATTTTTTCTACATATTTCAATGCAAAACTTTGATTCCCTATTGTGGCCCGCCCTACCCCAAGGGGTCATGATTTGAACAATTAGAATCCACACTACCCCAGAATGCTTCCACATAAGTTTCAGCTTTTCTGGCCCAGTGGTTCTTGAGAAGAAGATTTTTAAAGATTTTTACTACATATTTCAATGTAAAACTTGGATTCCCTATTGTGGCCCCGCCCTACCCCTGGGGGTCATGATTTGAACAATTTAGAATCTACACTACCCCAGAATGCTTCCACATAAGTTTCAGCTTTTCTGGCCCAGTGGTTTTTGAGAAGATTTTTAAAGATTTTTTCTACATATTTCAATGTAAAACTTGGATTCCCTATTGTGACCCCATCCTACCCTGGGGGTCATGATTTGAACAATTTAGACTTTACACTACCCAAGGAGTTTCAGCTTTTCTGGCCCAGTGGTTCTTGAGAAAAAGATTTTTTCTACATATTTCAATGCAAAACTTGGATTCTCTATTGTGGCCCCGCCCTACCCCTGGGGGTCATGATTTGAACAATTTAGAATCTACACTACCCTAGGATGCTTCCACATAAGTTTCAACTTTTCTGGCCCAGTGGTTCTTGAGAAGAAGATTTTTAAAGATTTTTTCTACATATTTCAATGTAAAACTTGGATTCCCTATTGTTGCCCCGCCCTACACCTGGGGGTCATGATTTGAACAATTTAGAATCTACACTACCCAAGGATGCTTCCACGTAAGTTTCAGCTTTTCTGGCGCAGTGGTTCTTGAGAAGAAGATTTTTTAATGACCCCACCCAATTTTTGTCTTTTCTTGATTATCTCCCCTTTGAAGGGGGCTTGGCCCTTCATTTTAACAATTTAAACTCCCCTTTACCCAAGGATGCTTTGTACCAAGTTTGGTTAAAATTGGCCCAGCGGTTCTTGAGAAGAAGTTGAAAATGTGAAAAGTTTACAGACGGATGGATGGACAGACAGACAGACGGACGGACGACGGACAATGGGTGATCAGAAAAGCTCACTTGAGCTTTCAGCTCAGGTGAGCTAAAAAATGAACTGTTACAAAGTAGAATCTCTTGGCTTACCTGGTACACTTGTACCAAGAGCTACGACAGAGATGGCAGTAACAGCATCCTTCAGTCCTATAGTACAACCAAATTCTGTAGCCAAGTCCTGGATAAACATTGTCAGCACACCAATCATAATGATACTGACAGTAAAGCAGGCCCAACCACCAAGGTAATCTACAATGTTACAAACATCTCTGTGACTAAGATAGACTACAATGTTACAAGCATCTCTTTGACTAAGATAGCCTAGTACAATGTTTTAAACATCTCTTTGACCAAGATGATCTTTAAAAGTCATCTAAAGTGTACCAGTATAACAAGTACAAGCTTTTTCAAAAAGCTTTGCTGTCTTCAGAAACAATCTTACCCTGTAAACCGACACACACCCATCATGCAAAATTATTATTGAGTACTGTCGTTCTTGTCTTTGCACTTCTCAACAGCTTTTTACATATGTACATTAGCCATATACCATATGAACGGAGGAAAAAAAGAATGTATATACACACATTTCAACTTCTGCAGGCAGAAAAAGAACTTAATTTCTGTAAACCATGAAAATATAGAGAAGGTTAATTATTTGTTGCTATAAAAAGTGAAAGTGTCAGTTTCCTTTACTTCCATTTTTTGGGGGGTTCATTTTGTTGAATTTTCTAAAGATTGAAAATCGTGTAAAATTGTTAAGTCGTATGAAAATTAGATCACCAGAAAATTATTTCCCTTGCCTAGCACAGCATTTCAACCAGTGAAATACTTGAAAATTTTCATATCTTGCATTTTCTACCAATCGCAGAAGAAAGAAAGTGCATAGTCCAAAGACTCTAAAATACTTCAACTCTGTACACCATCTTCCAAGAAAGACAATAACTAACAAGAGATGTTTGTAAAACACTTATGCCCCCCCCCCCCCCAATAATTGGAATTTTTCTAAGTTCAAGGGGCATAACTGTCAAAAATTGTTCGATCATACCCAAAACAGAACTTGCCCTGTCAGTAACGAAATTCAAAATGCAGTAAATATACATGTATACAGTAACAGAGTTATCTTTCTTTTACCATAACTGTTTCAAATTATACCATTTGCAAGTGTGATAGGGTAATAAGAACCCTACATGTTTATACATCCTAAAATCAACCCTGCTAGTCAGAACATATAAAGACATTTTAGATTAGACATGTAGAGCAAATATTTTTTTGATGTAGATGCTGTCAGTGAGAGCTTTATAATAGATATTCAATCTAGCTAAGCCCACATTTTTTACACCTTGGTTTCTCTCCAAACTCCACTACAAGATCAGATTAAAATATCTGCACAAAATATGACATTCTAGCTTTCAGATGTATCAAAATATCTTGTGTGCAAGGGTACAACATTTACTCCAATTGATTTTGCCATAGACCATAGTGGCACCCTAGGGGGTAGTCTTCATATTGCTTTATATTGAATATCAAGGAGAGACAAAATATGTACATCAGATATATGCTATTATTAACATCGCAATAAAAGCTACTAAATCCCCAAGGCTGAAGCTTCCAGTCTGTTTGAGAATTAATGAACTGTAATAGTTCTTATGCTGACTAGCCTATCATTTAAATCTAGTACGTGTCACATCAATACTATTCACCAGAGTGAGCACACCTATTGTTTACAGCTGCATGATTATAGTTATTGTCTAAGCCAATTAAAACATGTACTACTGTAGATTCCTTATTTTACATGAGAACTTAATATCGCGAAATGACCCAAGGGCGTCAAATCGCGAGAAAAATAATTCGCGAATGGGTGATTTATCTAGAGATTTTACATACATTAAAGCACCATAAAAATAAAAGCGAGTAATTTTATTTTGCGAGTGGTGCTTTTCGCGTAATTACGCGATAATTTATTCCTCGCGTATATTTAGGAATCTACAGTATACAGGTATCCACTTAATGCTGTCTACTTTCCAACCTCTACTTATCTTTTAGACTTATTTAATGCAATGTCTTCTTCTGAACTAAGTCAATCTAACCAATATCCAATCCATTATAACATAAAGCACCTGCAACTTGACAGTCACCTGAGTAACTCCACTGTCACCCTATGCATTGTAAAGCCACTTTTATGTCATACACCATCTTTAAAAACCAAGGGTTTTTGGATTGCTACATCCCAAAAACTTTGCAGATTACCCTGGCTGACATTAGAGACCTCTTCTGGCCATAAATAAATTTGAATTCTAGATTCTACCCCATCAAATTGCAACCCAGTATCCATTCAACAAAAAATCAGGATGAAGTAATTAAAGGTTTATCAATGTAAGAGAATAGAGATGGTGTGAGTACAAAAACACAGAAAAGCATATAGTTTACATCTGAATGTTTGTCTGTTCCTTTATTTTTGTGAAGTAATGCAACAAGACAGCTACATGTCATTGGTACCAAAGGTCTAAACTTGGAACAAATATCGCTACAGTTTTACAGGCGTAATCTGCCAAGGATTTTTGAGGAGCATAGCAGACCGTAAACCTTTGATTTGTGAAGATGGTCATATACAAGCTTTTCATATTTTTCTATTTTAAAAAAATAATAAAAAGACAAAAAATCCTAAGAAAACTTTCATGCTTTTTGAAGTGACCTTAAACATTTTCATTTGACCTTGCAGCAGGTTTACAATTGCACTTTTTTGAGTGACTAGTGTGTTTAATGAAGATGAGTGGTTCAGTTGCTACAATGTATGTCATTTAAAAAAGGTAATGGTACTGTGATATGGAAATTTTCATGTGGGTGTCATTTCTGTGAACGAAGTGACGAGCAAAACCTTAAGATATTTACACTTAAATGAAATATTCTTGCCATATCTGATATTTTATATGGTCAATCTGATTTTCCTTATTTGCAAAAATGATCCCCATGTAGAAATTTTGGTAAAAATTGTCCATGCTACAGAACAATTGTGTAGAGAAAAAGCACATACCAGTTGGGGGGACACAGGCAAAGAGAACTTTCCAGAAGAGTGTCAGGAAATGCATGACATAGTCCATACAGGAAGGAAGCTTCTCTTCTTCCTCATCCTCCTCATCACCTAAAAGAAAACAAATTGGTCTTAATTAATCCCTACATTAGTACTGCCCATCTCCCCTACCACACATTGGACATAATTTAAGTGTAGAAAATTTGTTGACATTTTAGCAGAAATTTATTGGACATGCGGAAATATAGTATGAGGACATTTTAGTAGATAGTTTAATAGTTAAATATATATAAATAGCTCTTCTGTTAGCCAGAACAAGTCTGTTGTCCTCTTCTTGCGAACCTGGGTGTGTGTGTGTGTGTGTGTGTGGGTGGGGTTACAAGTAAGATTTCGAGTAGGATAATGTTCATTAAAATACAGTTGATGTTCAAGACATCAGCACTATTAAAAAAATCAAATCAGCACTAAAATACAAAATATTAAAAATATTTACATCTCAGCATTAGCTCCCATACTGTGGACATCTATTAATTATTAAATTTACCTGTGGAAACAAATCCACTAAAATGTCCATTGAATTTTTACAGGTAACTGATTTATCTCCACTAAAATGTCCTATAAATCTTCATTAAAATGTCCATTCATACCTTCTGCAAATCTGCTAAAATGTTCTTCACCCCTTCTATCAAACTCAAATAACACTGGACATGAATATCTTGGTGTCAGTGTATCCTCAAAGCCCAGCAAACTTTACAAAACACCAAAAAGTAGCCAATCATTGCCTTTTTTGTACATTTGGCTTGTACAGAACATCTTAATATAAACCAATTGAATAATTTTATATCAAATTTGTCATAACCATGTTCAAATGAGACTGTTAATCACTTTAAAACTAGTAACTCTTATCACCTTAAGGGCTTTTTAAAGATTTTTAAAAATGAAATACTGGTGTGTGTGTAACAATCACCAATGTCAGATTTTTGATTTTCTCATTCAGCTTTCTCCTGTACAGAATAAATTTTATTCATTGAAACTGTAGGTTTCTATTATAACAGGAGAGGAGCAAAATGCAATGGACCAGAATGGGATTCAAACCCGGGCCCCCTGAATCTCCAGTCAGGTGCTCTACCAACTATTGGCTACCGACGATCGAACGCGCCTGACCGCCACATTTCTCCCTCCTTAAAGGTCTTCGGCCTCCGAAGACACAAACCCTGGCAGGTCTTTCACCTGTCACTTCCAATCCTGGTCAAGGCACCAAATGTAACCGGAGAGGAAAAAAATATGAGACCAGGCCGGGATTCAAATCCGGGCCCCCTGAATCTCTAGTCAGGTGCTCTACCAAATGAGCTATCTGGCAACCAGCGATCTAACCCGTCTGATCGCCACACTATAATTTACAGCAGAATTTCTCCTCAAAAGACAAAACATGGAACATCAAGTGCAATAACTGGAAGATTGAAATGAATGTCATATCAATGTTAACCACTACTGAGCTCCTTCACAATTACTTTGACTTTAAAATGCATAATACGGACAACATCCATGCAATGTAGTTTTTGCCTGTTTATCCAAAAAGAAATAAATTTTATATTATTAAGAGTATTTTGAGAGTAGTATAGTTTGCCCCCCCCCCCCCCCCCCAAAAGCTCTGAATTTAACACATTTTAAAACTTAGAGAGCATAATTATATTATAAAAGTGATAATTATGCAAATTTTATTTACTGATCAAAAGTTCTCAAGGATGTGGAAAATTAATGTGAATTAGTCCTTGTTTTTCAGAGGTGACACCTCCCCCAGCGGTAGGGGGACAGCTCCCTCCCACACCTATTACCTATAAGGCTTCATCCCTCAATATTTACATTTCCAAATATTTTTTCTTAAGATTCTTTGCAAATTAGAATGCTGTTCATTTTCTCATGAACTACCATGGATGAGCATGAATATCTCCATTGTTACATCATAATACCGCATTTGACGTCAAAACTATAGTGCAAACTGTTTTGCTTTAAAAATGACAGTTGAATGGTGAAATTTGTGGTAACTCATCAGAAAAATAATGTAAATATAAGAAATGAATTTAATTTTTGAAGATTCATGAGGTACATGAACTACAACGCTTCACGCCGGCATATTTATCATGAAGTGCTAACGCGCTTCATGAAATATGCCGGCGTGAAGCGTCGTAGTTCATGTCCTCATGAATCTTCAAAAATTAAATTCATTTCTTAAATTATTCTATGGTTTCATTAATTGCCTGAAAACATTGCTAGCTATGCCTCTGTGTTAATGTATAGACAAAACAAAAAGATTTTTCAAGAGTTGTTGAGAGATTGTTAACAAATTACCAATATACTTTTCAATCATATAAATATCCTTGGAAAATACATGTACAGGCTTTGGTGGGTTGTCGTATATGCAGTTTGTTTTATACTTCATATATGTATTGATGACCCCCAAAAAATGTTTTTGCAATTTTTTTTTTATATAAACACCATCTTCATTTATCTAATGGCTAGTACCATGAAGTGTCATATAAACATCCTCATTCAGAAAACACGCATTCACACAGAGAATTTAATGAGAATTAGTTCACAGAGCTAATGTAAAGTAATTTGATGTGCAGTAAATTAATTTGAATTAAACTGCTTTGCATTAAATTCTTTGGGTAAACTCAGTTCAAATTTAATTCACAGTAACTTACATTTAATTCATATTAAACTCTCTGTGTGAACAGGGCATTAAATTGGCCCAGTGGTTCTCGAAAAGAAGTCAAAATGTGAAATTTTATAGACTGATGGATAACCTCTGGACAATGAGTGATCAGAACTTTCAGCTTCATTGAAAATAAAAGCTGGGACTTGTTTTATTTAGAAATTATCCAATTTGTTCAAACATTACATCATGTGTCAGATAATTCTTTTTTAATTTTCAATTTTTTAAAAACTTTCTTTGAAAGGTTTGGACTACTTATAAACTCTATACTTGTGAGGGGGCTGCACCTGAAACATCAATTTTATTAGAAGACTTAAGCTAAATTACTTTTTTCCCCTTTAAAGGAGTGCATTAATTGAAATATTTTATAAGAAAGTTAACAATATGCAATGGAGTCTAAAATGTCAGTGAAAATCAAAAGCTTCCTAAATATTTAAATAAAAAAAAGAAATTTCCAGTCTGCATTGAGAATACTGAGCAAATGCCCTGCCATCTTGCCATCTTGGCCTATTTGTGGTATGGTTAGTGCTGTGCAACAATAAGCCTCCATGTCAAGATTTGGCAGAGAGTTTGGATGTCCAATAGTTCATTGCCTGATATTAAACATTAAGAACAAACTGGTTATTACCGAGATGAATGGGCAAGTCTCATTTTATAATGGATATCAAACGTAAATCAATACAAACTAATGCTGTAGACATTTGTATTATCAGAGAACTGTGGTTTTTTTCTGCTGAATGTGAATGGACATGTTTCTATGAATGAACAAAAATATTCATGGTTTCATGAATGCTTTTACTTCTATGAATTCAAACAGACAAAAATATACAGTAAATCTTGGTCATTATAACAAAGTCCTGGGGACCTGTGAATAAAGTTCACTAAACAGTGCTCCCCCCTTATACCCCCCCCATTATAATACCACCCCCGCTTACCACCAAAAAAAAATTCAAAGTCCCGATTTCCTCGCTATATAATACTCCGTTTTAACACCATTCCCCCACCTACCATCATCCGCCAACGTATTTCCAGAACAAAACCTTTATTACCATTATTATCACCCCCGTTATTACCGCAATTAGAATCCTTTTTTTTTTTTTTTTTTTTTTTTTAAATCAGATCAGTAGCTCTGTGTTATAAAAGAAAGTTAATAGAGAAACATATATTTACACCCCTCTAAAAATTATTTAACATCATGTTCAAAACTCATTTATATTAATCATTAACATGATCATTACATTGTTAAGTTACATCCTTCTGTGTTCAATATTTCAGAATTGAAAAAATTACATAGACTACACAATCAGTATCTACTGGTCCCAGCTGACAAAGCAGGTAACAGCATTGTCTTTGTTTGTAAGGCTCCTTATTTTAATAGTATTTTAGAGGAACTGGATTTAATTCTACAACTGGTAATCCAACTTATACCCATAGCTCCCTTTCTAAGGAGGAAATTCTTCAAAATCTTAGTCAGTTTTGAATATTTTAAATATTCCCAACAACCAATATGAATTTGAATTACCATACTTATATTGGATTCCGAAACTTCATAATTTTGCTTACAAATAAAGATATATAGTGGGTTCAAGTAAATTTTCTACTAAGCCTCTTTCTTTACTCCTCACTGAATATTAACAGCAGTGAAGGAGAAATTTCAGGAGTACTGTGCAACAGAATATTCAAGAAGTAGTGTAAATCAGATGTGTAAACTTAAAAGTTCCAAGGAACTTTTGGAAAATATGAAATCACAAAATTTAACCAAAAGCAATAACATAAAACTTATGACTTTTCAACTCTATATACAACCATTTCCCAAAATAAATTAAAGTCCAGGCTTTTTGACATCATTGACAGCTGCTTTTTCAATGAAATTGGAACTTGTAAATTTACTTACCTTGTCATTGGTCATTTGCAAAATCATTTTGTTAAAAAACATTCTGATTGTACACATAAGTACCAGGTACTCTGAAGTTGATATTAAAAGATGCTTGAGTTTCTGACTGACAATATCTATGTGGTTTTTGGAGACCAGGTCTTCCAACAATTTGTTGGAATTCCCATGGGTACTAATTGCACCCCTTCATAAGCAGACCTATTTTTGTATTCATATGAAGCAGAATTTATTCAAAATCTTATGCACAAGAAAAAGAAAATGCTTGCTGTGGCCTTCAACTCAACATTTAGATACACTGATGACGTATTATCAATTAACTATTAACTATAGTTCTTTCCATTCATATGTCGACACAATATATCCAAGTGAGCTTGAAATAAAAGATACCACAGAGTATGACTCATCTGTTTCATATTTGGATATTTTACTAGAAAAAGATGTTAATGGTAATCTAACAACAAAGCTTTATGATAAACGTGATGATTTTAACTTTTCAATCAT